TTGTATATACAGTCCCAGTCATTTTCCTCCTTGCTTAGGCCAATCCTGCGCTTCAGGGTGTCGTGAATCCCTCCCTGTTCCTATTTGTTGCTGCTGGCAACCTGGAGTTCGTTGTGGGGAGTGGGAGATGGCAGTGAGGGAATTCAATCTGTCACTCTGTCCTCTGGCCCCAGAGGTGGATTGGATTGTGGATGGGCTGTGAGCTGAGAGGCAGGCTGTGCCCAGGGGGAATAGGGCCCTTTGAGGCCACATGAATTGTATAGGATCGAGGCTACCACTTATGCATTCGCTGTATGTTTGTGTCTTCAACCAAAATAACTCTCTTCTCCCTTGTTTTCACTGATTGACAACTAGAGGTTAACTATCTAATCAATCCAAAACTGCCAGTCACCAGGTGATATTTCAGTGAAACAGTGCCAACAGCACCATCTGGGCATCAGCGACCAGTGCTGGCCAGCTATAAGTCTTGCTGTCTGCATGAGCTGAAGAGAAGATTATGTATCTGCATAGAAAGCCCCTTGTGGTATAAAACCCAAGGAGAGCGTTTTCCTCATGGTGTTGAGCAGAGAGGGACTTGAGGAGTGCTGGCTTTACTTGTGCCTGATGCTGTATGCATAGCAGGTCCCTTGTCCACATGCACAGGGCATTGGATGGGAGTATTTCAATAAGACTTCAGGAAAAGAAAGGCCCCTGTTGACCTTCTCGTCCCGTGAGCCAGTGTTGGTAGAGTTCTTAACGGCAAAACGCTGCTGCTTTCTTTATCTGCTCTTTAAATGGAGGTATGAGGAGTTCAGGGTCTCTTTCTAAGGCTGCAACTGGAATAGCATTCTCTCTGCTTTGGGCCCTTTGGCCAAGGGCCAGGTATGGAATTTGGGGGAGGGCTTTGTAAAGAGATGCATTTCCCTTGGCAAAGTAGTGGGGGGGCCTCCCCTCCTTTCCCCACCTTAAATGTCCAGCGCTGAATGTGGTCACAACTGGTCACTTTTTGTAATTAAAATGCCCACTGTTTTTTACCGTAACGGCAGCACCTTGCACAGACATAAAGTTTCAACCACAAACTTCACCCATTCTGCTTATTGATGATGAGATGACTGAGGCACAGAGGTGATGTCCAAGGTCAGACACCACAAAGCAGTGGCTGTGCCGGGAATATGATCCAGATCTCCTGAGTCCCAGCTTGCTGCACTAGAGCATGCTGCCCCATGTAAGTGCTAAGTCTTTCCATTTGCTTTGATTGCTGCTCTGTATGGAAGCTAGTGCCATCCTGGATAAAACTTCATGAATATTTAAGCAAAAATGTTGGCTCTGCTCCACTCCAACTGCAAAAATAAAACCTCTGGTGGAATATATTAGCTGTTAACAGGGTGTGAAGCCAGAGAATTGCATGAGAAAAATAAACAGCAAGCATGTGTATGTTACGTAGGAACAAAGCTAGCCATCTTGGTAACATATTGTTAACTGCCACCCTGACTCCAAATAGGATTAGTACAGTAAGTGAGATGACAAGTTAACAGCATCGGTTTATTTTTTATGGGGACTCTGGAAGTCAGCCAAATATAGAAGGAGAGAGGGGGTGTGTGTGAGAGAGAGAGATACATACACATACACAAACTTTTATCCCTTCACACTTTCTCCATTGAGAGGGGTCTCACTGTCTTGGCGCAAATAGTCTTTGAAAGTGTATAGAATGTATGAGGGCATCACAATCAAAACAACTGGTGGTAAAAGTGTTTTCACAAGGTTATTCTGGTGGGGTTGCAATGCAGTAAATAACCTCATGAATAGCCTTTAATTATTTTTATACCTTAAAGCTTCAAAAAGACCCTCCAACACTGTGCTATGCTAGTGACTATAGAAACGGGGTTAATGATTGCACTGGAAACTGTATGGGCAAGTATCAAGACAAAGCTAAATGCTTTGTGGTTTTTGGGCCACCAAGCATTTAGCACACTGCTGGTATTATACAAAGAAATAATAGATTTGTAGATGAGATGGTAAAGACCAATTTTTGTAAGTTACATTGTACACCTCTCTGGAATGCGTGTGAACATCTAGAAATCAGTGTAGCATAGGTTTTAAGGAGGGAAATGAAAATAGAAGAAGGTAGCTAAGACGGAGTTGTTTTGGATTCTTCTGCTTTGTTACGTAGGTAGAATATTGCGTATTCTCTCCAAACTTAGACTACTCTTTAAGGACAGAATGGATGTGCTGAGAACTTACAAGTAAAGCTGTTAGTTGGAGTTACAATTAATTTAAAATTGGGTCCTCTAAAATTATTTAGCACCATGCGCACTGGCTACATTGGAGATGAACTGCCTTCTTTCAAAATGCCCGCTGTCTCCTAATTTTCAGTGGGAGTGAAGCCAAGCTGACATCAGGGAGTAGGCCTGCCGAGTGTGAGGGTCACCATCATTCCTGGATTCAAGTCCATTAAAAACCAGATTCATTTTCCTCCTCCTCTTCCTCTCTCTAGGCCAACAGGGCTCTTATTCCCAGAATAAATAATTATGTTTGGCTTTATAAAGGGAGAATCCCAGCCGATACCACCCAGTTCAGTTTTGAACCACGCAAACCAAAACCATGGTGACGTGGAGATGGGGGCAAAGAATCATGTTGTCCTGAACACTGAGGGAGAAATAAAAGCAGAGAGAGCTTTTTTTTTCTGTGTTTGGTCAGTGCCTATCACAGTGGGGTACTGGTCCTTGCTTGGGGCTACTGCATGCGAATATATTACAAATACTAGGAAGAGGTTTTTTTCTAATCAAAGATTGGGGGCGGGGTGGAATTTTTCAAGTGCCTAAATCCCTTTGGAAGTGGATGGGAGTTAAACTCTCACTTTTGAAAATCTCACCTTTGTCCACTGGGGTTTTCCCTACTTACTTTGTAATGTGTGCACCCTGGCCTTGGGCTGCATTATATTCCTTCCAGATTGCAGCGGCTGCAGTGTATCTACCCTAGAATAGCATGGACTATCAAGTTTGGGTTACTTTGTGATGCATTTTCTTTTCACTTAGTTGGTACCTTGCAAAACCCAGTACTTTGCCTCAGCGTGAATTAGGCCTTGGCTGTACTAGAAAAGTGCACTGATTTAACTAGACGTGGCTAGTTAAAATGGGGCATACCCCCACCATAGAGGGACCTCGATTTTTACTTTGCATCAGTATGTTACTGACCTAACCAGATTTAACCCTTGCTTAAATCAGTTCATTTTAAGGGTGTCTATATTGGCAGTTGCCATTGTATACTTAGCTCAGAGGTTCTCAAAAACTCTGGTCCGCAGGCATGGCTCCACTAATTAGGTGCCTGGACCCTGGAGAAGATGCACATGTAAGGTGAGGGGGTGGGAGGAATTTGGGACATGCAGGGCTGTGGCAACCAGAGAAAGAGGCGACTTTCCCCATCTTGGGGGCTGTGGCTGCTGGGGAGAGACCCCTGCTCCTTTCCAGCCCCAACTTGGGGGCTGCCGTGGCAGGAGAGAGAGGGCACATCCATCGCATTAGAAAGGTAAGACTACAGATATTAAAATATGAGTTGTGTGCTTTTATTTGTAGAACAAAAAAAGTTCATTTATATATATAGATATATAGCGCTTTTATCCAAAGCACTTTAGTTAGCTAATGGTACAAACAACATTTGGAAAGATCATTAAGGGGTTCGCCGAGACCCTCAGCAAATTTCAAGTGGTCCGTGAAAAGAAAAGTTTGAGCACTACTGGCCTAGATCAATTTTAAATTGATTTAGTTAATCTGGTGCACTTTTAAAGAGGTTTGACTATAGTTAATGGTGTGTAAAGCACCATAAAAATGCAGGTATCTTCATTAAGAGGTCATATAATGCATTACATAGTTATTATCTTTTTAGAAGGCTTTGTTTAAAAATCAATTCTTTTGTGTATTTCTGATCTAGATATTATAGCACCTTGTTTTCTTCATTGTATTGTAAAGTCTGAAAGACACTGCAATTTTCTTTTGTCACTTTCTACCAGTGTTCTTCCTATTGATTCTGATGATGCCCCTTGTTAATACTTGTTTTAGGAGCACCCTTCATCTTCTGGCTTGACTTTGGACATCACCAGCTGCACTGAAGATCTCACCTTTGTAGAGACTCAACATCAGTGTATGCTATTAGTAGAGAAATTCAGTGGAAGTGCCCTGCTAAATTAAATTGGATATTCGGGGTTTTTATTACTTTCTTTTTCTTTAGCTCCAGCATAGAATACGTAGCATTGTGCCTTGAATTTCCCATTCTAGTCTCTGTGGCTCATTTACATGAGAAAAATTAGATGTTACTGATGAGCAGTGTCAGCAATGGATTCAGATTAACTGTTTCTCTGTGATAGAGAGCAGGACAAAACCAGTTCAGAAAATGCTGGTGAAAACACGCTTAGAGCAAGTCTGTCATGGTTTTCTGAAACAACACAGAACACTTTTTATTCTGGTCTGCGTTAAAGCAGCATTCAGCTGAATTTTTCTAGCGTAGAGTAGGGCTGAAGGGTTATATTGACCACTTATCATGTCTGCTTCCACAGCCTTGACACCAACTGTGCTGCATGCCTCAGGCACCGAGACCAGCCTACTGCCATTGGCTGGCACATCTCAGGCTATGCCTTAGTGAGATCTCAATTCGTAGTGCAGTTCTGTGACAGCACCTTGGGTAGGCCAGTAAAGGCTGCATTGCTAGGTGTCTGTTACACAATCATTTGCTCTTACAGTGTACAAGAGTCCCTCACAGCTGTTGCAATTTAAAGGAACAACGATTGTCGTGTACTATTTACTGGATAGTGCATTTAATTGTAACATTAATGCTCTAACATGCTTTAAAAATGTAACTTGCTTTTGTTATGCTTCCTTCGCTTTTCTGGGCTTCACCCAGCCTAGCAAAGAATGTTGTATGTGTCTTCTAATTCTGCTACATCTATACTTTTAGATATTCCTCTTTGTCCTCCGTCTCAGCCTAGACTTGCTCTTTACGTAATGTGTGCATCTCTGTTCCCCATCCAGCTCTCTACTTCCCATGGCAGGCTTTCAGGTACTGGCCCTTGTTGGAGACAGGAGCCTGGATTATTCGTTGGAGCGGGTATGTCAATGTATCAATTCCTATTTTTTTACAGGTACACCACTCCCTCCCCTGGGCAGATGAATTTTTTCAGGCCTTGCTTAAGAAATCTCTCCCCCCCCCCCCCAAATGACTATAAAATAAGCCACCAATAGATACAAAAAGCCAAGGTTAGAGAGGAGGCAGTGTGGTTGAAGCACAAACATGGAGGAATGAGAACTGGGTTCTTCTCTTAGCCAGTTACCATGAAATTTAAGAGCTTCGTTTCTTTCCCTGGTTTCAGAGTAGCAGCCGTGTTAGTCTGTAGTCGCAAAAAGAAAAGGAATACTTGTGGCACCTTAGAGACTAACCAATTTATTTGAGCATAAGCTTTCGTGAGCGACAGCTCACTTCATCGGATGCATTCAGTGGAAAATACACTGGGGAGATTTATATACATGGAGAACATGAAATAATGGGTGTTACATAATTATTACACCCATTGTTTCATGTTCTCTATGTATATAAATCTCTCCACTTTGCAATCCTTGCATAAAGTAGTATTCACCTTTGGAGGAAAGAAATTGTAAGAATACTCCTGCCAGTATCCAACAGACACTAAAATTCTGTTACTGAGTCAGATAAAAGCCTGGAGAAAACAGACTTTGTACAAAATCAGTTAAACACAATTCCTACTAAAGCAGGAGAGTGAGTGAGGATAACAGATATTTTAAAATAAGCAGGTTAGAGGTGGCCAAAGTAATCCCCCAGAGCTTCAAGCATTGACTCTGTATGTTCAACTAGGAAAATTTAATACAGTTGGAATACTTTTAAAAGTGGCTGCTCATGGCTTTCCTGTTCTGACCATGGTGTAATCAAAAATGTCCATTTTAAGTTACGGTGCCTACTATACATAACAACTGTATGGGGAAATCTGGCTTCCAATGGCAAATATCTATACGTAGTGTGTGTGAGAGAGCTCATTCTCTCCATAAAGATCTATAGACGGAGATCAGATCTATTTCTATGCCTAGCTCTATAGAAAGTCTTCTCTAGCTACAGCGACCTATTATAGGTAGAGGGCCATCTCTATGCCTAGCAGTAGAGCTTCTCCTATAGACATCCACCCCATCATCTACAGTGACCCATTGCTATGTATAGAGATCTATACAGAACTACTGTTAGAGAGGGATCTCAATAGCTAACAATCTGTGAGAGCCACTGCTCTAAAGAGCTAGCTATCTTCACATAATTCTAGCTGTAGTGAGCTGTCTGTACCCATAGACAGACATCTTTCTCTATACATAGAGCTAGACAGAGGTATCTCTAGATGGTTTGTTAAAACCATACCAGCTCAAGGGAAAAAAAATCTGGAGGGGTATTTGTATATATAGTTATGTATAACTCAACTCTACCTCAAACTGCTGCAGTTTGAAATAGATACAAACTCGAGGCAGGAGCATTAGAAATTACTATAACTTCCCCCTTCATTAAGACTGTGTCATACATAGACAGTGTAATAAAGAAGGTACTCTGCATTTCCCACATCTCCTAGGGAGGGATATATGAACTTACATGGCGTGAAGGTTGTTTTCTTGGTGATAACTAGATTTTGTGCTTATTGTTCCAGCCAAGCACAGCAGAAAAACATACAATCATCAATTGCCCACCTGCTTCTAATGTGTATGAAGAGTATGACCATATTAAGGTAAGAGCAGCAGCAGAAGGGGAAACAAATGCAGACCCTGTGGTACAAAACAATACATTTCACACCCATAATGAAGGGGACTCCACAACTCTGTTCAAAACAGTTTATTTTATTTTTTTGTCAGACAAACACATTGATTTCTGGACCACAGTAGAGGATGGAAACCTTTCACAAACTTATTTATTTGAAAATACAAATATAAAATTATACTTTCCACATCTGTGATGTGAGAGACCCCCATCCACATAGTATTTTACAACAGGGCTTTAGAAAGCCATACACAGAGACCTGAAAGATGCTTGATATATAGATACAGATATATGTGTGTGTTTATATAGTTTTTAAAAAAAAATGTCACTACCAAAGTTCTCATCAGTTCATACTAAAGTATAAAAGGAAGGGCTAGGCCTGCCACTGTGCCAGAGTTTGTTTAGGTATTTATGACCACCTGAAATGCTTAGACTTGCATTCTATTACTGATGGAATTCAGAACTTGTAAAACATATAATGAATTGTATTTGCTATCCACTACAGTCAAAATGACACACAGCGATCCCACACGTTGTGTCAGAGTATGTACAGAATACAGTTTTATAACATGGGTGACTCCTGCTTCTTGTCGAAGTTTTTTAGCTTTGATTTTTACACTGAAATGAAATTCTGTCAAGACAATACATTCTGATTGTTTGGAAACTTGTGAACAGATCACTTAGATTGACTTTCTTAACTACTTGTTTTTGGTAAATTTTATTACAGTATTAAAGTATTGCTTAGCTTACAGAATCTCCTCATGTAGTGTTCACACACAAAAATGGGTTTGAATTAGATTCTGTACTTATGAAACTCTACAGTGTATGTATGCAGACCACAGAATCTGCCCCTGTGTCTTCAATGCAGTGTCTCCCATTTTCCTGTCTCATCTGTTTTGCTTTTAAAAAACAATCATCCACAAAAGTTCCACTCAAGAGACATTTCCACAGCATAAAAGATGAGTTAGTGTTTTTGTAAACAATTTCATATGCAATATCATATATAACCATGGCTGACTGTCAATAAAAATGTAATAAACAATATTGCTTTATTATAGATTATGTTGCATTGAGTGAATGGCAGAATGAAACAGGATGGTTTTTGTGGCTGAAGTCACTAGCCCTCATTCACACTAAAGGTCAAAATAGCATTACAGGTTTTATAGCTGGGGGGAAGAAAAAAAATCCGAACACCTTTCAGGTCATTATTACCCATAATTACCCAATGATTTAAACTAATCTAGCAAGATGTGTAACATTCACCAGCTGTATACTGCTGTACAATGAAAAAAAAATTACAGCAACAGAGCCATGCTACCTTAAAGTCCAAGCTACAAATTCAAATTAAAATGAACATTATGAAGTATAGAAAACAAAAAGGACAGATAGATCAGTCTTCATTTTAATCAAGTCAATCACAAATTAATATTATTTTTTGGGGTGGGGGGAGGAGGGTAGTTACCCTCGTTAACTAAATTTTCCTAGATACTGCAATCCCTCCAAAATTTACATTGTGTTTAGTAACAAAAGTTGTCCCACTGTATCATAATGCAGGTCTACCAGAAATGGGTATGGCGTATCCCAGTCTGGAGAAGGACAGGAAAACCTATCTCTACGTTAATAACGGACTTCATGGGTGAGTAGGAGCTATTTTTTGTTGCCCATTTGCACAAGTAGGCAGGAGTCTCTCTTTTTTGAAAACTCCCAGGGTAACAGTTCTAAATGGGCAAGATCAGTTGTATCAGTGCATTCGCCACTGTGCTTGACTAAAATAAAGATGTAGCTGAACCTTTGTGCTAAAATAATTTACAAAGAAAATTCTTCAAAATGGACTTCTAAATGAGTGGGGGGACTAAAGTGAACCTTAGTCTAGGTAGCCACATCAAAAACATATCAGGTTCCACAATATTTGTGCTATGGGCCACTGGGACTTTTCAAAAGGTATATAAACATCTAAAACATATTCACACAGATTATCAATTTCTTCTGAGCATTCTTAAAAAAATATTTTTTTCTCTTAGTAAAATCATTTTAATATACCATGCCTCCCTCTTTTAAAAAATAAATTAAAAAAATCCAGTTTTGCATATCTAGCATTAGCATTTAAGGTAGTATGGCACACCCCCTTTTTAAAGTCAAGGGTGGGGATCTACAAAATGCTTTAAGAGTTTGCCAGCATTTTTAACATTGTGAGACCTTTGGTTAGTTGAAACCACATCAGATCAGCAAAAAATAAAATAAGACGGGGAAAAAAGGAAGAAACTGCCCAAAATTATTAGCATTTTTTTCTTAAATAAGAGAAAGTTCTATCCTTACTGGTCCTAAATCTGAATAACTACATCTAAATTTTTAACCTTAATTACAATACACCTACCAATATGTACTAGAAGAGGAAGAGAGAAAGAGGAGGGGGGAAAATTCACTACACTAGCATCAGGACAGCACTCTTACAAGATAGCCATTTTATACACTATTAACATACAACAATGATCAACAAAGAATATTCTATGAGGTGATAGGGAATGGAGAGGAAAAACAAATGGTAGTACAGTACGTCATCAACATTGACAAAATATTAATAAAAAATTCCCTGACTTATACATTGGATCTCAGGGAATTTGGTTTGTTTTTTTTATTATTTTTATTTTTTAAAGAACTGTTATTTTATTACTTGATCAAGTCTCAATATTTAAAAAGCGTCCAGCATTTTGCTTAAACCTGGTTGTTCTGAAATAAGAAAAAAAAAACAAAACAAAAAACCTAACCTATTACACAAAAAAAGCATGATTTCATTTTTAAAAAATAAGAAAAACAAGGTTTTTTCCATTCAGATAGCATTACGATGCCTTGTTTTTTTTTTTAAAGATGCCTTGCTCTACCTGGTCTATTGAATGTCTACATTAGTCTACTTGTTAGTAAAATTTACAAAAATAGGAGTGCAGCAGCTCTTTTTAACAAATGTCGCATTCAGTGTCTTATACTGGCTGTACCTAAAGTACCAAATTTATAAACGTAACAATTTAAAAAAATATTAATAAAACTTGTCAATATTACGTTAAAAAAAGAAGAAATATATCCATACTACAGTATGTTCTTAATGCCACCTACCATGTTGTACTTCTATTTTGCTGTTGCAGGCCTATTTACCAATATTAAAAAAATTAAATTAAAAAATATCCTTCATAAGTTTCCTCCCCCAACAGAGGACCATATATATAACAGCCAAATATTAAACATGTGCAAATAGGAAACTGTCAGTTTTTCTCCCTACCAGTCACAGTGCAATGATGTTTTATACTTTTTTAATTCTGTTTACATCTACAATAAATTAAAATCTTCTGTCACTTCTAGGGTGATACTTGTAGCACTGAGGTATTCCAAACAAACAAACAATAAAAAGGTTGCTTTCCTAATTTGTTAATATAGAAAATAATGGATAAAAGGTATAATGCAAGCTTTAACACTGCTCTTCCTATGGCATGTTAGACACTGAAGAGGAATCTCTTCTCTGTCAGAGCTTTATAGGACATACAGAGCAGCTGAAATGACTGGACAGCAAGTTGATCTAATTTAAAATAATGACTAATAAAGGTGTGCTTCAAACTTTAAATACTTTAAATATTAAAATTGTAGCTTCTTTTTCAGTCTTGGGAAAAAGCCGTTCTTAAATTAAAAAATATAACTAAACTGTTACCTTTTAAGCTGTGCACATATGACTAGTTAATATGCTGGTATGACGCTAGTACAGTTATAAGGTCTAACACACCTACAGAGCAAGCTAAACAGTGTTAATCTAACTCTTATGGGCCAGCTCCGGCAGTTGATCTAAACGTTTAAAACTTTTTTTCTTCCATTTAGTAGAGAAACTGCCTTAGACTGACTCCATCACAAAAATATTTTGTATTTCTCTTTCTCTTTCTTAGTAGTTTATATGTAGTTAATGGAATTGTATTTACAGTGTTTTTTTTTTTTTTTTCAGAATTCACAATTTCAAAAAACCTTATATCACCTCTTTCAACCAAAAAAAGCACTTATAGAAAAAGAAGGACACAAAAAATTTTGCAGTCCTTACCTTATTGCCGAAAATAGATATAATTAGGTTAACAAAGATGTCACAAATCAAAAGAACGGCTAGAGATCCTGCTACTCAGCTCCCATGCAATGCAAACGAGAAACTTGACTTCAGCCCACCCGCTGCTCTTGCTCTACTTCTAATTCAGTGTGTGCTAAAATTCCACCTGAAAAGTTTTTACAGTTTCAGAATTGGTACCAAAAGACTGAGACTCATGTTACCATCTCAGCATCCTTTAAGCAACAACTACATAAAACAAAAGTAAAAAGGAGGGAAAAGAAAAGAAAACCCCTTAATATAAACAGTTACACGATGGTTAGGCTTTTACTAGATACACAAATTAGAACTACATGACTATGAGCGTATGTCAAATGCTATGAAAAAATGTGATTCAAACAGATTTAAGAGGGGGGGAACCCATCAAGAAAATAAAACAAAAGAGAAATGGATTATATATACATATTTTAAAAGCTGTTTTTATAGTACAGCAGATTCATGAGATGATGAGAGAGATTTTAAACAACCTAAGTCCATCGAGTGCCACCTCCAGTTTATTTATGGTATTGGTGATGATGTAGTGCTCAAAGTCTGATGATATCACCTGAACATGGGACCATTCAGAAACTTCGCCCTGTCTTGCCTGGACATCCAGATATACTCTATAAAGGATAAAAAGAACACATAACATAACCACATTTTTTGAGAGTAACAGAAGTTCCCAAATCTAGAGGAGTTCCCACGGGGTTTATTATGGACCTCTTATGAGTAAATAGCTCAGTGGAATTCCTGTGCAGGTCATTGTATGTTGTTTTGATCTACTTTGTGCAATTAGTGCCACACAGTATAAACTTGACATATAATAGACCTGACCCAGGGATATGCTGAGGACCAGTAGCTCTTGTTGAAGTCACAGGGAGCTCAGTACCTTTCAGTATCAGACCCACTATTAATAATATGTAATATCACTTAAATACAAAAAGGTGAACAGAAATAGTCTAAACATGACCTATTCAGTTTATGTAAATAGCAGGTGATGTTGGCAAAAGGCATGGCAAAGGGCCAATGCATGGGAACTGTGCAAAATTTTTAATATCAAAATGAGAAGCATACTTAAAATTTAATACCTGTGTTTTGGGCCATAATCTATTCTAAATCACCTGGTGTAAATCCAGAGTGACATAATTGAAGTTTATGGGGTTACTCTAGAATGAAAAGCATAGCTTAAATTCTGCTCTGCTATCGATCTTCTCTTTCAAATACATTTACAAAGGTAAAGTAAATACCTCGGTGTCAAATTCAGTGCTCGTTTCACGAGCTCCTTTTGTACTTTTACAGGGTGGTTTTGGTTTGTTTGTTTTTTGTTCACTAATATTTGGGAACAATAAAATACTACTAGATTCATCAGAAGTACTGGAAAATCTCCTTATGCACCAGTCACACTACTGAGTTTACATAGCTTTATAACATGCATATTCTAAAATTGTTAAAGTACTTGCTAGATGGTGGTAACTTTTAAATGGGTACATTTCAACAGTAGTGATTACTTTTATAAGTGGATGTGTAACACCTAACTCACTGATCCTGCAGACACTTACGTATGTCAGTAATCCAACTGACTGCAACAGGACTATTCTTCTATGTCAATTTTTGCAGGATTGGGACAGAGGGGGGTAATTATTATTTAAACTTCACTACAGAAATGATTTTAATTATGACAAATATAAAAAACCCACCCCTGCAATTGAGGGTGCGATATCTACAGTGCAGGAAGGGGTGTGATTTGCATCTTGTCTCGATGTACTCTAGGGCAGTGCCTCTCAACCTTTTCAGACGACTGGACCCCTTTTGGGAGTCTGATTTGTCTGGCATCCCCCCAAGTTTCACCTCACTTAAAAACGACTTGCTTACAAAATCAGACATAAAGTATCACACAGCACACTTACTGAAAAATTGCCAACTCTCATTTTTACCATATATTATAAATTGATTGGAATATAAATATTGTACTTACATTTCAGTGTCTAGTCTATAGAGCAGTATAAACAAGTCATTGTCTGTATGAAATTTTAGTTTGTACTGACTTTGTTAGTGCTTTTTATGTAGCCTGTTGTAAAAGCAGGCAAATGGCTGAGAACCGCTGCTCTAGCGAGCTTGCTAAAAATAAGCAGGTGGATTTCAGCATGGGCTGCACAAGCGAGTATGTAACTAGGCAGGTTTGTGCCGCAGTGTCCTCGCTTTAGTGAGCTAGCTCGAGGTACGTCTGCACAAGCTGCAAATCACACCTGTGGCTACAGAGCAGGGGGGCCTGAGTTGTATTCCAGCAGGAGGAAGATGAAGGACATGCTGGCAGACCTGAAAGCTTGCACACTTAAGAGTATGCAGAACGGCTGGACCTTGACATGAAATTCACTACAATTCATTTGAAGTAATGTAATTTTTGAAGACCCTGTTTGAAAACTATCACATCCCATCTCAGTATCAAGATGAGATTTTTGCTTTAGAGAAAGTCCTCTGCATGTGGAGAACCACCATATTAGCAGATCCTTGTAAGCTGGAGCAGTGGAGCCCGCCCACAGATGGAAGAGGAAACCATAGTGAGATAAGTGGAAGTATATTTTGGGAGGCACTGTCACAATTACAAATTTCAAACTCAGTAGTCCTTGAGAAATTAATCATAGGGACAACGCCCCCCACCCAATCAATTTTAATTAGTAATGAGCAGTGTTAACAGCTATTTCTGTTTGTAAGTCATTAATGATTGCACTTGTAACACTGGCCAGTAAATAATGGTTACAGCTTGATGTGCTGTGGTAGGTTTAAGATGATTGCAATATATTAATTTTGTTAACATTTCCTGTTTTGCGGCATTATTAGTTCAAATTACTGTTTTGTTAAAATCCCCAACATGCTTTGAAGTGCACAGCTTGTTTTTATGAAGGATACTTGGACACAATAATAATGAAGCATTATAAACCAATTACTGTGTGTGTATACAAACACTATAATGTCACCCAAAATAACTAGGATTAAAAATGAGTGCTTATAATTTTTATGGGGAGAGTAAAATGTATATTTTGTGGACCAAATTAGTTTAGTTTAGGAAACATTCTTAAAAATTTAAAATACACATTTATGCTAAAATGCAGGAGATACACATGACCATTTCTTGTCATACATTAAAGGAGATCATAACATAGTAATATTTATAAACTGATGAATGTACCATCTCTATTAGATACAAAAATCATGCAGCCCAGCATCAATGGGCATTTTGTGGGGTGATCATGGCTTGATGGATAAGGGGTGGGGGGTGGGAGGTTGGTTCTCTTTTTCAAGGTAGGGTGTGGTTTTTTTGGGTTTTTTTTGCATATATTGGTACATATACACATTAAGTACCCTCCACATGTACTGGAACAATACCCCTCCCCTCTGTAATTATGATTTTAATTCCATAGATTTATTTGAAATTTAAAATGTGACTGATCAGATTTATTCCTAGCTAAGAATCAATAGAAATAAAATTTGACATTTAAATTTATTTTGTATCCGTATAGAAAAATGTAAACTACAAAGGTAAACACATGGTTTAATAGGTATAACTTTTGTATTGACTGACTTTTTAATTTACACTATTAGAGGTATAAGAATATTCATTTGCAAAAATGAATATGCCAAAAGGCCAAACAATTTTTTAAAAACATGTAATTAACTCAAGCTCAGTTAAAAGGGTAGGAAACTGGCAGTGATCCAAATACTAAAGTAATGCCTTTAATTTAATTTACTTAGGTTTAATTTTTTAATCTAGATAATTGTTCTATGGTTACTAGTAACAATGTTATCTCATAGCTGTAATATTTGGTACAGTACTTAATTATGAATTATGGTTTTCTTTGCAATAAAGCAATGGTGCTCACTTATTTTTAGAAAACTGCATTCATAGCAAATCCCTCATCCTCACAGCAATGCTGCCCACTGACACTTTTTCATTTGTTTCCCCCAAGACTTCTGGAATCATCATTTATTCCTTTGGCTTTCAAAGAATGCAAGCGACTTCTCTAAGCTTAATAAATGTCAAAACACTAACTTTGTTGGGTTCTAGCTCCTGATTCTCTTCCAGTTTCCAACCCACAAGATTGATTTTAAAATAAACAATTGCAAAAAGGAATGATTAGAGGCCAAGGGAAAAAGAAAGTGAAGATCAAAAGGTGTTTTCTTAATTTAAAATATATATGGGAAATACTAGCTTAGCATAAAATACAAATGGTATATATTGTAATACCTCAAAGTGAGATGGCAACCAACCATGTGTAACGTTTCAATGGTATCCATTTGTAAAAGCCGTTGCAATCAAAGGTCCCTAAAATTGTACAATTATTAAGGTCATCAGTGTTCTATACATGGGAACAGATTATTATTTTTTTGGCAAGTAATTATCAAAGGACTTGAAAGACTGTGTTGCCAGCATGAATATGTATTTAAGAAAGCTGTTCTCTGGTCACCACTGACTTGATGTGTTGAATTCTAATCTTACCTTTCCAAGACACTAATCTTCACCCCCCCCTCTAAAATTTGGGTTTTTTAAACATTAGGATTAGTAAATGGACAATGTTAAAAAAATAAAGAATAAAAAAGACCCCCATTTTCTCGATAAGGTTATGGGGGGAGAGGAGGAATTAAGAGGCTGCCAATCTGCACGTCAGAGAGAAAATACTTTCTTAAAAAATGACAGTACAGACAAAACAGGATGCCAAATGCATTATTATTATTATTTGACAATCAGGACATTCAGAGGTCAAAGTGTGTAAGTTTTCAAGAACAAACAGGTCTTTTTCTTTAGGCGAAAAGTGGAAACGAGGGGTGTAGTAAGTGGTGATAGATGGCAGTTTAAATTGACGTAGCTCTTGGCAGAATAATAATAATCCACATTTCATAGCACAACTGATCCTAAGAGATTGTCAAGATACGTAAGTGACCTTATGATGGGAATGGAATTGAACAAGAATTCAGAACATTAGGGCACAACTAGAAGGCTGCAAAAAGGTATTTCAAAAATACGATGAAAACCACGTTCGTTAATTTCAGGAGCTTTGTCTGCACCACATTTTCCCCCCCAACCAATTTGGCTAAAATATTAACATTACTCTCACCTTTGGTTCTGAGTAATCTTTTGAAACGGCTCTCTACAGCTAAGATGGAAAACAAACAATGAAAAAATCTCATTGTTTGCTTACAATTTTTTGGGGGGGGAGGGGGGAGCTGATTTCCCATTTCAAAGACTGACAGCCACTAAACAGATTCAAACACATTCATGCTAACGCACAGAGGTAAAACAATACAATCTGAAAAAGAGCATGCAAGTTTGTTAAG